GGTTTCCAACACATTTATTTCAGTTACCAACTGTAACTACAGTACCTCTTCTGATCCTCCAGCGTTGCATGACATGGGTGCACCTACATACATGCAGGCAATATACTCATACATATGAAATAAAAATAATTTTTAAAAAATTTAAAAAGTTCCTTATAAACCACATAAATTATATGTAATAACTTGAAGAAGTTATAAAACTGAAAGAAGGCAACAGCTGTAATAGAACTCACAACATCTACCATGTCCAACTTGAAATTATGCAATTCATGAATTTTACTAATATAAACTACCTGAAAACTGTGACAAAACTATTTTGTTTAAAGTAAGGAAAGTTAAGTTCTAAAAATTATGCTTTAAAATACGGATGAAAGGCCAGGCATGGTGGCACATGTCTTTAATCCAAAAACTCAGGAGACAGAGGCAGGTGGATTTCTGTGAGATTGAGGCCAGCCTAGTCCAAATATCGAGTTCTAGGCCAGCTGGGGCTATAGGGAAACCTGTCTCAAAAAACAACCACAAAACATGGATAAACTTCAAAAACATGATAAATGAAAAAAATCAGGAACAGAAGAGCACAGATTTGATTTTATTTATATGAACTTAAATAACAAAGGCAAACCTACAGCTATAAAGTAGATTTCTTATTTGCCTGGAACTGGAGCTGGGGATGTAAAGTAACTGCAAATGAATATGAGGGATCTTTTTAGAGTGATAACAGCTATTCCAAAATTGGACAGTGGAAATGGCTGTATAATTCTGCAAATGTACTAAATGTCACTGAATTTTACACTTATAACAGGTGAACTTCATGGTCTGGAAAGTATATTTCAACTGTTGAAAACAAAAGAATGTAGAAATAGATTTCATGAATACAGTAATGAGTTCCATTTGGGGCATATTAAGATTTTTGTTTAAAGACTCGTTTTTATTTATGTGTCTGGATGCCTTTGTATATGTCATGTGTGTGTAGGTGACCACAGAGGCCAGAAGAGGGCATCAGATCACCTGGAACTGAAGTTACAAGTAGTTATGTGTAGCCAATGTTGAGGCTGGGAACCAAATTCCGGTCCTCTGAAGAGCGGCAACTGCTCTTAACTACTGAGCCATCTCTTCAGCTCCTTGAACATACTAAGTTTTAAGTGCTACCAGGACATGCAGGAGATATTTGAAAATGCAGATAGGGAAACGATTGCATTTAGGAAAACAATCAAATCAGAGATGAAAATCTCTGAACTCCAAAGTCTATACGTGGTTATTGAAGCCATTTATTATGCACCTATGTGACACAGAGTCCATGGGCTGATTCCTGGAAAACACTATGCATTAATGGCTGAAGAAGGGTCAGGGAAACAAGAACAAGAAAAAGAAACCACAGTCGCCCTTCTCAGAGGCAAGCCCTTTTTGGCAGATTTCTGATGTTTACCTCCATAATTCAGCAAGCATATATTCTACATTTCTAGATCTATTACTCTAGACAAGATGTAGATCTTTATTATGGAAAATGAAGTTTTAGCTCTCTTTAACCTTTCTTTATTCCAACATTTAATAAATGACACCCCTTATTTCTCCTCTTGGTTACATTTGTGATGCTGAATGAGGTTATGATAGCCCTTTAATATCTTCTGGAGGGTTGGCCCCAGGACCCCTTGCAAATACCTAATTCCATGGGCACTTAAATCCCTTATGTAGAATGTCACAATAGTTGCGTATCTCCTATGCACATCTCCCTGCATACTTTATTTAATCTTTTCTGGATTACTTACAATACCTAATATAATGCAAATGCTATGTAAATACTGGGAGTAGTGTGTGGTTAGGAAATAGTGACAAGAAAAAAATACATATATTCAGTATAAATGCAACTTTTTGCCTGTATATTTTAGATCCACAGTCAATTAAGCCCTCTGGTTGTAGAACCCATCAACCATGGAACCCATTGGGTATCGGTGGCCGACCGTAGCTCTGTCTTCACAAGCTGGGTCAGCTCACAGCCTGACTCCATATCACATGAAGTAAGCAACAGTACCACCTTTCCTCTCCCATTTCCTTCTTCATTAGCTATATCTTGACTCTTACATCATCAAAACTCTGAATGTTTATATGCTGCTCTATGTCCCTAATGAAGTCTTTCATATTTTGCAGTTGATTTACTCTAAAACTTGAGAAACGATAAAAACTACTTTTTTATTGAGACTAATATTATTCCTGACAGATCGTATGCAGGAATAATCAGTCTTTCTCTGATAAAAGATTCTCTTTTCTTACCCTCTGTAAGATGGTTTAAAAATCATTCCACATTTTAACTTGCATCTTATTTGTTTAACATTTTTCTTATACTTTTTAAAGGTGAGAGACTAAAGAGTGATGTGCTTTATCATAAATCACAAATATTAGCTTCTTATTCATACTATTTGTTTCATGCATTCTCCTTTTATTTCTTAAGATATCAATTCTTCCAAAGCTCTCCTACGTCCTGCTTATATCTAGACTGAATGTTCCCTAGAATTGCTACTGAACCGTTCAAGCTGTTTTCCAAAACCTTCCTTCACTGATCTAAATTGAGTCCTGGATCCCGTCTTCCATTGGGTTTATTCTCTGATTTTGCTGGAGTTGATCAAGTAACTTTTTGTAACAGGATGCAGTGGAAACTTTGAGCTCCTGCATAACTAATGACATCTTTGTCTTTACACATGATAGTATTTAGCTGGTCATATTAATGCACACTGAAAACAATTTTCTCCCAATTTGGATACATACTGTACCATTACCTTTCAGTATCCATAAATGTAGCTGCACCAGAAGTCTAATGCCAGTCTAGTCACTAAGACCTTGTAAGTTACCAGTTTTCTCCTCTTCCAAGCATATGTAAGATCTCTATTTTTGCCCAAAGTTCTATAATTTTACAAGAATGTTATCTAATCTTATCTTCAGAAAAGTTTTCCAAATAGTGCTAGATAGTCATTTGGGCCCTTCCTAGCTGAAGGCGTGTATTCCATAAGTTTAGAAAAATTCACCCATTATGTTTTTCTGATTTATTTTCCTGCATTATAAAATACCTATAATTCGTATTTGAGGAATTCTAGGTTTATCTCCTTTACATATATATGTTATCATATAAAATTCTTCCATTATAAAAATGTCAGTGTTTTAGTAATTTTTTTCCCACTGTACCTTGCTTAATTCATGCCACTGACTTTCACAAAAAGTTAGTGATACTTTTAATCAATAATCTTTATTATCTTATTCCATGGCTGTAATTAAGGAATAAAATGACATCTCAAGTCTTACACAATATACCAGTTAGAAAACATTTCTAGGTTCTGTTTTGCTCCTGCCTTTCATTACTTCCAGGAGTGGTATTTATTTGCTATCTGTGTCTTCTCTTATTAAAGTTGCTTTTTCCTCAGCCTTAGCTGGCTGCTCATATTTCTGAGTTGTTTATTCTTGGTTGACTATTCTAGATAAGAGGTGTGGATTCCTCTGATGTTGTGTAAGAACATCTTTCCAGTAGATCTCACACCCTGAGTGGGAATAGGATTAGGTACCCTGTGTACCTGGGTAGAACATTTGACTGGCAGGTTTATTTTCAGGAAGAGCTGGTAAGAAGCCCACTGAAGACTGAAGAACTACTGGATGACAGAACGAGAAGAACCTTCTTTTAGAGCAGAGTGCAAACTGATTACATACCCAAGGCGAGACTGTTTTTATATGCTTGGGTGAGAGCTATTATATATGATTTGAAGTGTTCATTAGAGACAGGATCTCACCTAGTCTGTGTTGGCCTGGAACTATGTAGTTCAGGCTGGCCTCAAACTGTGGCAATCCTCTTGCCTTATCCTCCTAAGTGCTGTGATTATAGGTATGTAATGGATGTGAGGAGGGCAGCCTGGCGTATATGTCCAAGGGGAAACCCTGGCAATTCAAAAAAATATTTTATTAAAGGTTACAAACAAGTGTTAAAAAGCACACAGAAATATGTCATACAAACTGCTATGGCTTGAATGTTTGTACCCCTTAAAAACTCATGCTAAAACTTAATTTTCGATGACACCATATTAAGAGGTTGGACTTTTAGGTGACTGGGTCAACAAGGCTGCTCACTCATGAATGGGACCAAGGTCTTTATAAGAGACTTCAAGGCTGGAGAGATGGCTCAGCAATTAAGAAAGCTTGCTTTTCTTACAAAGGACCAGAGTTCACTTCTCAGCACCCATGTTGGGCAGCTCACAGTCACTGGTGACTCTATTTTCTGGGAGTCCAGTGACCTCTTCTGGTTTCCATTGGCACTTGCACTCACATGAACACACACACACAAATAAATAAATTTTTTTTAAAAATCTTTTTTTAAAAAAGAAGAGACTTTAGGGCTGGAGAGATGGCTCAGTGGTTAAGAGTACTGACTGCTCTTGCAGAGGATGCAGGTTCAGTTCCCAGCACCCACATGGTGGCTAACAACCATGCATAACTCCAAGGGACTGGAGGCCCTCTTCTGACCTCTGTGGGCACTACATGACGCAGGTATGCTTACATACATATAGGCAATCCACTCATACATATAATATAACCATGTGAGGACACTATGCTTCTCCCTTCTCCCCTTTAGAGGACGCAGCAACAAGACACCAACTTTGAAGCAGAGAGCGGTCCTCACCAGATACAGGACTCACAGGTACCTTGACATTGGATTTCTAAGTCTCCAGAACTGTGAGGAATGTAGTCACATATTGCTTTTTAATAGACATACATTCTGAGAAGTATGTCATTGGCAATTTCATTCCCATGAGAGCATCATAGCATGTACTTACACAAACATAGAAGATATAGCCTATGTGGTGGTTTGAATGAAAATGTCTCCTATAGGCTCCAAGTGTTTGGACATTTTGTCCCCGGATGATGGTGCTGTTTTGGGAGGTTTTAGAAGGTGTGCTATCCTGGAGGAAGCATTTTGCTATAGCATTATGAATTAAGACAGAAATCCTAACTTCATATGGTTTAAAAGAATCTTAAAGCCTCTTAAAGCCTTGCTGGATTTTGAGTTTCTCTCTTGCTTCCTGTGCCTGCTTGAAGATATGAGAGCTTAGCTTCCCGCCTCCTCCAGCCACCTCTGCTGCCGTGCCTCCATGTTGGCAAATGTAAACTTGCTTACATTCCTTTCCTTGCCAAACTTCACATTGTTTGTGTCTATCTTTTCTTTCTTAATGTACATATAAGTAAGAGCAATGAACAGTAGCCTGTCACAGCCTGACTGATGTCCTGCCTTGAAGATTCCTCTGCCAAACAAGTTAGTCCATTACTTTTGAATTCTGTCTCAATCAAGTTCTCAGAGCAGGATCAAAATGAAGCCAGATCCTTTTCATAGTCAATAGCCTAGTTCGAGATAGAGTCATTGTTACCCTCTGAAACCTCATGAGTGACACCTCCAATAATTTAATTTATCTCAGCATTCTTTCTTTCCAAGTTCCCATCAAAATAGCCCATTGTGCTCAATTCAAGCCGAGATCTGCGAACTCTTTCACACTCCTCCCAAAAAAACTAGTTCCAAAAGCCTATGAACCACTCAGTCATGATTATTACAACAATGCCCCAACTTATGATACCAATTTTCTGTATCAGTTACTTTTCCCTTTGTTGTGACAAAAATACCTACCAAAAGTAACTTCAAGAAGACAGGTTTAATTTTGTCCTACAATTCAAGAGTATATAGCCTATCATGGTGGGGAACTCATGGTGTCGTAAGTGTGATATGACTAGTCATAGTGCATAAGCATTCAACAAGTAGAGATGAATGTTGGGCTCAGCTCATGTTAACCTTTTTATTCAACTTTGGACCTCAGCCCTTGGAATATTGTTCCTCATGTTTAGGGTAGTTCTCCCCTCTTTATTTAGTCTAATCTAATCTAGTATCTTCATTAGAGATATACTTTCAAAATTAACATCACAAGTCATCAAAATTATTTATGGATTCTAAGTACAAGTCCTTAATTAGATATGTTCCAGAGGATCCACTTACCCAAGAAGTCACATTTTTTTGGAGCCAAGCAGATGAAGTCCCTCACATCCCAGGGAATCAGAGCTCTGGCATTCATTCATACAGGCCATGATGTCTATTCATATAAGCCAGGCAGTCATAACATGCCCCCTTACTTGGCACTGAACTAGCTCCTCATGGTTCAAGCTGTTAAAGTACCTCATCTTTGGAGAATGAAGTCATTCTCTGTGCTATTTCCTGTATCCCCAGGTCCAAGCCACAACTACCATACCTTGGTCCTCGCTATTGGTGCACCCTGTCTTACAGAGCCTAGAAAACTGTGTGTCACCACTCAAGGTCTAGAGTCACAGCATCATGGTATCTCATCCCATGATGAAGCTACAGCTGCCACTGTGTTCTGTTAGTTCTAGTTCCCAGATTGCAGCTACAACCTCTGAGGCCTGACACTCTAAATTACTCCTCCTGAGCCAGCCAATATCAGAATGACAGCTAGACATGGGCCTGAGTCTGCAGGTGTGTACCTCGGAGGAGCAGATCCTAGTTTAATAGAAGAACTATATTTACTCATGTGTTGGAAAGTGACATCACATCTCAAGTCCCAGGTTTTGTAGTAGTTTTGCAAAAGTGTAAGCCTAATGAGTCTATAGCCACTCCCTAGAACATGTGCCCTGGATGTTGTGGCTGCCTATGGGCCCTATCAATCCCAAACAAGAAGAAACCCCCTCAATAAAGATTCCCCACTATGAGGAAGACAAGAACAGGAGAATCCTCTAAAGCTCTTGCTCTAATAGCCTATGCAAATTCCATCAATGGCCACACACTCTTGTGGCCTAGACCACTAAGGTCTAGGAACCACAGTCACAGTTAACATCGATCACAACTGAAGAACCTGCATGGAGACTATACTGCTGCACCCACATGGAACCAGAGATACCATACTTTGCCTCACCAGCTACCACAGTGATCCTGCACAGTAATGTTTATTGCAGCATTATTCAAAATAGCCAAAACATGGCATCAGCCCAAATGTCCATCAATAAATAAATGGATGAAGAAAATGTATGTATGAACAATCATGTTATTCAGCTGTGAGGAAGAACGAAATTATGACATTCACAAGAAAATAGATGCAACTAAAGACCATTAAGTCAAGCAGAAAAGCCAGACTCAGAAAAAAAAACATCATGTTTGTTCTCATACACAGAATCTAGATTTAAATTTACACACACACACACACACACACACACACACACACACACAACATTAAAGTATAAAAAGAGAAAGTAGTCTCGGTGGAGGGGAAGGCAGGAACAAGAAAGAAAAATGGAACTTATTTGTCATGAAAGCAGAAGGAACAGCTTCAGGAAAACAAAGGGATCAGGAGCTGGAGAGACAGCTCATGGGGTAAAGTACTTGCCCCCAAGAGTTCTGATCAGATCGGACAAGAGTTCCGATCCCCAGCACCCATATAAATGCTAGGTGGGACCAGTGGCCCTTCTGTAATCCCAACACAGGGAAGGTGGAGACAAGGGATTCCTGGAACAATCTGGCTAGCTGGCCTACCTGAATCAGCGAGCTATGGGTTCAAGTGAGAGACCCTGCTCAGTATAGTGATCAAAGAAGACACAAACACCAACCTCTGGTCTCTGCATGCATCTACATATGAACATGCATGCACACATATACCACAATACATTCACAGGGAAAAATTTTAAATAAAATGGACCAGTAAAAAGGGGAAGGGCAGTGGGTAATGTGAATAAGAATGACATATAATAAAGGCCAGGTGTGGTGGCGCATGTGTTTAGTCCCAGTACTCAGGAGGCAGAGGCAGGTGGATCTCTGTGAGTTCAATTGAGGTCAGCCTGGTCTACAGAGTGAGGTCCAGTCCAGCCAGAGCTACACAGTGAGACTCCCTCTCAAAAACAAAACAGAAAAATGACATATAATGATATATATGAAAACAAAACAACAAATCCATTTATTTGTATACTCACAGAATTAATGGAAAAAGAATATTTAAAGGAAGCTATGAATGACTAAAACTAGTTAAGAATACAGGATACAAGGTCAATACACAGAAATCAAATGAACATATTAGCTTGACTCCAAAGATGGCCAATATTAGCTCCTTCTGCCTCTTTTGTATATGTCAGTCCATCAATCTATGAAGTCTATCTTCAAAACTATGATGCCTTATGACATTTCTGAACAATAAATATAGTAGAAGTGAGTCTATGTCAGTTCCAGACCAAAATTTGGCCTGAATCTCCCACCTCACATTTTATACAAAAATTAAATTATGGTAGACCTTAGACATAAATATGAAAACTAAATCTCTTCAGGATCTAAAAAACACATTGGAGACTATCCTTCAACTTTGGTTAAAGCTATCTCAGGGTACAAACAGTATTAACTATTAAAGAAAAAAAGTCATTTAGAAATCATGAAAATTACCAATTTCTCCTCAAAGATGCAATTCAGAAATAAAAGGGTTAATCACAGATGTAGGCAAAATATTCATAGCACATATATCTGACAAAGGACTCACACACAAAAAAAATTAAAAGGCAGCTGGAGATATGGCTCAGTAGTTAAGAGCACTTGTAGCTCTTGTAGAGGACCTGGCTGTGGTTCCCACACCTACATGGTGGCTCATTGTCGACAGCTTGTAACTCCAATTCCAGGGGATCTGACACCCTCTTCTAGCATCTGTGGGCACCAGGCATGCATGTACACATGCAAGTACACATACATACATGTAGGGAAGTACTCACACACATAAAATAAAATCTTTTTAAAAATGTAAAGACTTTACTTCTATAATTAAAATTATTGAGTTATCTATTTTATGTGTATGAGTATTTTGCCTGTGTTATGTAAGTGTACCATGTATGTAGAGTGCTCAAAGAGGCCAGGTGAG